CTGTATTAACTCTTGTTATGAGTCTCACAATACTCAACCACCTTTGAATATATGCACTCATTCTACAAGGTCTCTTGCCACATTTAGGGCTTCCTCAAGAACATGCCCAATATTGAAATCTGTAAAGCCGCTACGTGTGCTTCCATATATACATTCACCAAACACTACGCTATAACTCATGACTCTGCTTCTGATACTGTATTCGGCTTGGCTGTACTTTTCTCTGTACTGGACTTGACTCTGAAGCCCCCTCCACCTTAGAGGGAACTGCTCAGTAATCACCTAGAGTGGAGCATCAGTAGGGACACTACTCGAAGAAGAAGAAGAAATGGTTACTTATTCTGTACAGTAACTGTGGTTCTTTGAGATGTCTGTCCTTTGGAGTCCTCTGCTTTGGAGTTTCACCGTAGAGAAGGAACTGAGGGCAGTTTGCCCACACAGTGCTATGTAGCAATGCCACAGGGTACGAGACTGACTAACACGCATGTCCGAACCAAATGGACACTACTGTGAGAAATCTCCAGTCAAAGGCACAGGGGGTGCTAGCACACTTAGAGTGCAGCACCTGTAGGGGGACACATCTTGAAGAACCACAGTAATTGCGCAGGGTGAGTAATCCTTTATTTTCACAGGTGACCACTAATTGTGTGTGCCTTCTTTTCTGAGTGCCCAACTTAAGCCTTTGGGGCAGAGTACTCACAACTGCAACTGAAGTCAATGGGAACTGTACTTTGAACATATAAAGTGCTATATAATAAGGACCCTGAGAAAATTGTTTTCATACACTGAGGTGAAATTGTGAAATTAGCCCAGCCCTGCAATTTTTCCCACAAGAAGGACGCTGAAGTGGGCATCTGTGTATGCCATTCTTATGTTCATTGCATCTTTTGGGTTCCCCTCCCTCCAACCTGCTGCTCTAACAGCGGGGTAGCCAATGAGTATGCATTGTCCCTCAGGACTGCTCTCCCATTGGCGCTACATCTGCACCCCGAGGCACCATCCCTTGCTGCATATTAACAAGCCCAGAAGACGCGAGTGGAAGTATTGCATGGAGATGGTTTCCAAAGAGCCTAGTAAAAGAACGAGGGATCAGCAGCTTCTTGTCAACTCCCGCCACACTGGTTTGACCCATGCTCACCTGCCGGCTACCCCAGGGAGGTAGACCTGTTAGACCCAACTACCCCCTCTGCGACCTCATGGAACAGATACTGGGCAGAGGGGGATACCTGGGTGCAAGTAAAAGGGGGGGGCTGGGAAGATGAGACGGTGGAGGGGGAGCAGCTGAAGGGGAGGGGCTAAGTTGAGAGCCTATGGGTGGGAAGGAGGTTTGAGGGACCGGAGTTGGAACCAGGGACTGAGGTGGCGGGATAAGTGGAGGAGGAGGGGTGGGTATGAGGGGCTGGGAGGGACAACACTTTGTGAGGGAGTATGTGTATATGAACTTCACAGAGTGCAAGACAAGAGCACATGGATGCTCGCTTCTGCCTTCCCGCTGCTGGAAAAATTGCTGCAGTTCTGGAGGGACCAGCAGCCAGTTTTCTGAGAGGCACAATAGCCAGCACCACAGCTTGGAACAGAAGCAGCTGCAGCCTCCGGAGAGAGGCAGAAGCATGTGTTCTAAGTGGCAATGGCATGCTGTCTACTGTGCCTTGCGTAAAACAGGCCCCTGAGTGCCCCCTGAACTGCTGTAATTTTCCAACAGTGAGGAGGTGGAAGTGGGCATCTGTGCACACCAGTTTCCTGCTGTTGGAAAAATTGCAGCAGTTGTTGTGGGGACTTGGCGTCTGGTTTTATGCAGAGGAATGCAACATTGATCTTTCACAGACTGCATTCTGTGTGTATCCTAGGAAAATCACTGCTTAACCCATGACACTGCCGTGATATTTTTTTTTCCAAATCTGCAGTTTTCTCAGGGCCCTCTATATAATGCTAAGTATTCTGAAAAATCTGATCCTAGGAATCCCACATTGGGCACCCAAAACTAGTGGACACTTTTTACCTTAATCTCTCTGTGCCTCAGTTCCTCATCTGTAAAATGGGGATAGTAATATATCACCTTGCGTCCCAGGAGTGTTGAGAAAATAAATTCATAAATATGTGTGAAGCACTGAGGTACTGTTGTATTGTGTGCCATTGAAAAGACCAAGGGGAAATTTAAAAAAATTTATTCAGGGTTTGAATAGTATGTGGTGACTAAGGCATGAGGTTGCACATTGAATAATGAGGGTGAAACAAAATATTGAATAGCTGCTCATTCAATGAGCACTGTCCATCCTGTTCACAGAAGGAGGCCGGGGTCTATGGAAAAAAATAGTATGTGATGTAAAGACTGTATCATAATGCATACTCACGGGGGGGCTGAATTAAGGTTATATAGGCAACCTTAATTCAGGTATTCCCTAACTTTTAATTCCTTCAACCTTAACGTTCTTTTAACAAAGGTTTCTAGGTGTAAATTTTATATTTAAGCTAATAGGAGCTGTTAGGTTTCTCAGAACTTGAAAATCAAGTAATTTAGGTGTCTACATTTAGATTTCTATTTTTTAAAATCTTATTTTAAATTAAAAGGAGATAGCAAAGCAAGATCTAGAGAAAAGAAAGCTAAAAAGAATGCTGATACATACTTAGAAATCGGAATGGAACAAGTAATCAGTTTCACACATACAG